AACTTTTCGCCAACTTTATCTCTTAGCCCAAATTGGTAAGATGCATACTAAACTGGGAAAGAACCTTTCTTTGAAACATACTATTAATAGAAAGTTCACAAAACGTGGGTTGTACTGAAATTTAAATTATCATATAATTTCTATACCGTGTGTCTCTCTTTCGAATCTAAATTAAGAGTACATTTATATTTTTTTAATTAATTTATATTAAAAAATTAAGAAAAAAAACTTTAATTCTATAAATCATTTCATTAAAATTATAAATATGGTATTAGTGATAAAAATAATATTAATTTTTATATTTTTTATATAAATTGAAGATAAAAAGATATAATTAATACATTCTTAATCTTTATCTTTACAATATATGTTAAACAAACCCAACTATTATATGAATTTATCAATCTTGTGTCTTTTTTAAAGTATAATCAATGTACTATTTTTTAATTAATTTACATGAGTAACATAAATATTTACTCTTTTTTTAACACCATTATCAAATAGATGAGTCTAATTAGTCAATTAATTAAATTAAAATTAATTTTTATATTTTTATAAATTAATTATAAAGAGATACTTTGATATCTTTTAAACTATATTTTAATAGTATAAATTAAAAAAATAAAAATATTATAATTATAATGTTGCATAACATTATAAGTTTATAATATGATATATTATTATATAATTAATTTTTTTATTTAATAATATATTTATAATATTTTATTTATTTATTTAATATCATATTATAATTAGAAATTTTTAATTTTAAATAACGTTATAATTATAAGATATTGGTTGAAAAAAACTGTTATTATATTTATAAAATGCGTCTGTGTCCTACCGCTGCAAGTTCCCTTTGCGGAGGTTACTCCTGCGACAAGCTAATTGATGATTAAAATAGTTAGATCGGGATACATTCTCCATCCGAAATTTTTTGTCCTTTCTCAGTGTTGCAGCAGGATAAAAAACTTTTTGTATTCTGGATATTATGGGCTTTGAGTTCCCCATAACTGCTTGATGTAATTTCCTTTTGTTTAAAAATAATAATAAATAGGATGAAAATTTCAAACCAAAATTTTGTATTAATAATATAATATAAGTTAAGTTATTTAAAATATTTAAAATTTTTATATTATTTAATAATTATTATTTTTTAAAATATATAATATTATATATATTAATTAATTTAATAATGTAACCTATAAGTATATAACACGTCATTAATTTAAAATTTTCATACTCAATTTCCTCCGTATCATTTCTCCTTCTTCTAAGTAACTTTTTCCCTAATCGTTTTCAAATGTACTTCCAAGACAACTTTGGTAAATGTGGGGGTTTTTTTTTTTAATGTTCTGGTATATTTTTTCGATGGAATAATGTTCTGATGTATTTGGGCTTAGTACCATGCATGATACATTTTTCATGTGGGATTACTAGATTTGGTTGCCCACCTTTAGAATATACATATCTCAGATATTATTCCGACCTTTATTTGGCCCAAAATGGTCCTCACATTTTCTACATATGGGCATAGTGGTTAGTACTATGCATGTGCATTTTCATACAAAGCAAAATATAGGGGTACATAAGGCTAACTCAGTTAATAAAATTTAGATGTTTCAATAATTAGTACTTACATTTAAATTCGTCTATGAGTAAGTCTTGTGTGCACAGATAACTTGCAAATTTTACCTTAATCAGGTCCCACTAAGTTGGTAGTGTGACTTGACCTTAATTGGGTAACTTTCACCCCCCCCCCCCCCAAAGCTTTCTTATCAAAGAATACTCTTATAGAGTATCGAATATAGGGTAATAAAGGCTAAGATTTAATTGTTAACCTTTAGAATATAAACCAAATATTATTTCAACATTTAATTTGGACCAAAAATGATATGCAATCTTTTTTGAAATGACACAAGTTATCCAGAGCCCTAAACAAAATCTTATGTGGGGGGTTAGATTCACTTAATGTGAGTATATGGAATTTTATGTGGAAAAGATGTGATGAGGATAATTCAATCTTGAGGTTGATATTATAAAGA